ACACACACACACACACACACACACACACACACACACACACACACACACACACACACACACACACACAACAGAAGGAAGGACAGATGGATTAGAAATCACAAGAGCACAGGACAAGGACAAAAATATTAACCCAACTGAAAAAAGTACATAGAAATACAGTTAAAAACATACGAAACCACATCATACTCTGCTAGGAAATAAAACACTACAGATATAAATGTAGCTATGTAATTTTATCTAATTTAGCTGCAAGATAAGATAAGATAAGATAAGATAAGATAAGATAAGATAAGATAAGATAAGATAAGAGTCACACAGATGGGAAATTTAGGTTGTAACAAAAAAATGTTCCCTTTAACCTTCAATGTACATCCCAGTACATTCCCAGTTTGTGGTTTCTTCCTCCCTCTTTACAGCCTATCAGGGAATTTGAATTCACATAATAGGCTGTTCAAACAATTCAACTGGTTGTCTTCTTTTGATTGACACATCTTTTGGTAAATTGTGTTCATCTATAGACTCTGCAGAGAACAAAATGTGTGGCAAGCCCCTCATATCCCACCTGTCTTTGGTAAATGTGACTGGTTGACTAGAATCAGCCAATCAGCTCTGAGCTTCATTCTGACCCCACAGCTGTGTAGCCAAACAAGTTACCTTTTTATTTGATATGCAGCTTTAAATTTAAAAATAATAATACTGGTTATAGTGTATTTTAACTTCAATAAGTAAATTCTTTTACAGTTATAAAAATTACGACTGCTGAAGTTAAAAAATCAGATTCATAATTTTGCATACAGACCAGGCTTGTGAATTTATTCTAAAGGGTTCAAGAGCAGTACTTAATTTAATTTCGATTAATGTTAGGCTCGTAGGTTAACAGGTTGAAGGTTTTAAAATAAAACAATAACATTTATAATCACACAGATTCCTCTACATAATCTGTTGCTTCTAAAACATCAATCAATCCAGCCAATAAGCCTGAACAAACAATGCTGAAAACAAGAAATAAAGTGAATTATTATGTTTAAAACCGCCCGAATGTTTACAATTACTTTGCCGACAGAATAAAAACTATGCTGTTTGCAAACTAAAAGAAAATGCCACAAACATTACCCCCTGTTAGGCCTTTTAATGACTCAGCTATAGAGTTTGTAGAGATATAAATATATTTGTGCTGTCATTGATCAAAATCTCTCCTTCAAATCTCACACTGACCACATTTGAAGAAACTGAAGCTTAAAGGGATCCCCAATTAGTTGTAACATTAGACTTTATATGATAAACATATACTTTAACTGTAAAATAAAGACTGTAAAAATACTGTAGGATGTTCAGTTTTTATTATTTTATATACAAGGACGGGGCCATTTTATTTAAACGCAAAGCATTCTGGGTAAATGATTACACCAACTAGGTCCTCAGTGTGAGGCTGCTAGCGAGCTATATCCACC